TCAGCCTTCATTCTGCTTATGGGCATATTCCCTAGAAAGTCTTCAGGGACAGGGTTCGACCATACGGAGCAATGCAGCCCTGGACCTGTAAAGTGATCTACAGCTAACTCATAGGTTACCCACAGATTGTCTAAGAAAGCACTTAAGCAGAGCCAAGTTCTCATTACAGATTGCCTCCTTTATGTTAACAGTGGGATCCGAGTATGGCCACTATGACTATGCCGAAGATGAGCTGATTGAGAAGCTACAGAGTGAGATGCTCTGGCTATTCAGCAACTGTGGAATCTTGCTAAAATTAAAATAAATCATTTTGCTGATAGTAAGTAATAGATTTGCTTCTCTGACAGGAGTGAAGGTGTCTGTTCTCCTTGGACACTAGCAAATAAAACTAGAGCATGGTGGGAGTGATACTGGGTTGTCTTATAGCTTTGTTTACTAGTGTCCAGTCTTCTGAAGACAGGAGCATAACCCAATGTACCAGAATGACTTTACCATGTATCTCTTAATGTACAAATAAGAAAAATATACAAAAGATTAAAGTAAAACAGGGAAATTATTAAAAATCTAAAAATGAGCAAAGCATTAGGGTTGATTTACTAAAACTGGAGAGTGCAAATTGTGGTACAGATCTGCATAGAAAGCAATCAGCTTCCATTTTTTTTCAAGGGATAATTGAACAAGCCGAAGTTAGAAGTTGATTTGCGACCATGCACAACTGCACCAGATTTTGTACTCTCCATTTTCAGCAAATCAACCCCACTGTATTTTTCCTATATAACTGTTCAATATATAGCTACAAATTTCCAAGAATGGTGGTATTCCTTTCAAATTAAAAGACCCAAATTATGCAGCAAAATTAGTTAATAATTATAATAAGCATGTTTTCTCTTATTAAGAAGTCACATTTTACACTTGAGCTTATTGCACAAAATGGCTTGAAAAGAAATTGGATGCAAAAACCCTTAGATCGCCTTCCTTAGGTCTGCAAAATCTAATTGAGCAGTACACATAGCAGTTCAGAGGCTTCCCTTGTCAGGATACAAAAGCACAACGGGGAAATCGCTGCACCAACATCACTTGCAGTGTGTAACGGGCTTAAGACCTGCTTTCTCCTCATACTAAGCCCTGCCCCCTCCTATTCAACTGTAAAATGCCGAAGTCTATAGTGCCCTGTCGCATTCTAGCACTTAACTGCTGAATAATAAGGGGTAAGGATATGTGCTGAAATGGGCGGAGCTTAAGAGGTGATAAGAACAGGCCTAACTTTTGGACAAAAAGTTACAGTACTGTATATCTAAACTCTCTCATTGACACACGTTGCATGTTTTGCCGCATTTTATAAAAACGCACCAAAAACCTTGCATTCTGCATCTTTGGGGAGCTTTTAGAAATCAGAGCAGAAATTCTCAACCTAATTAAAGTCAATGGAACCGCCGCTAAAAATGCGTGTAAAATGCACAGAAACCACGCATACACTTGTGCTGTGACCAAAACACAGTGCCCCAGTGTGAAACACAGTGAAAATCCAACACAACAAACACTTTACTCCTGCGCTAGGAAAGGACTCAGTAGACCCAATAGGAATGTTCTGGAATTTTCTGGAATATGCACTGCTTGCTGCCCTCAACAGACCAAGGTGGTCCAAATACACTGGATACAAATGGAGAAACAGAAAAAGGGCGCACCGACCTAGTGCATTATCGTTTAAAATAATTTATTGAAGAAACAAAATAGGTATCATACTCACAATGGACATAAAAACACAGGCATGTCAAACTGAACAAGATGTATGATCCAAACAACATCTGAGTCCATACGATGGAACCCTGGATGACCAACTGGCTAACACGTTTCGAGGACACAAACTCTTCCTCAGAGCCAACCTGGCTCTGAGGAAGAGGTTGTGTCCTCGAAACGCGTTAGCCAGTTGGTCATCCAGGGTTCCATCGTATGGACTCAAATGTTATGTTATGTCCATTGTGAGTATGATACCTATTTTGTTTCTTCAACAAATTATTTTAAACGATAATGCACTAGGTCGGTGTGCCCTTTTTCTGTTTCTCCATTTGTATCCAGTGAAACACAGTGCACCAGTGTGAACCCAGCCTTAGCTTACCAGAGCAATTTTTGTCCTGCGTTTAGATGTTCCTGCTGTAAGGCGCCTATGCAGGTTGCCTTTCTGCATTGCGTTTTGCGTTGCATTTTTGCACTTGCGTTTTTGACGTGTTTTTGATGCATATTACAAAAACGCAACTTTTTGCATTCAAAGAAATCCCTGACCCTTTACAAAAAATGCACCAGGTGAAAACGCACGGGTGTGAACATGTCCCATAGGAAATCATATTAAATGGACTATACTACATTTGTGCAAAACGCTGCAGAAAACGCTTAGGTTTGTACCTAGGGTAAGGCAGGTTTAGCTGCTTTCAGGTGAATTCACTTGAGTTTAGCACTGTTTAGAGTTTCTAATCAAATCCTGGATGAACAGAATTCTATTTTCTCTAAACACAGTTAAACTGACTGCACCTAGATACGGATAAATAGTAAGACTAGCACCATAGAAAAATCTATTTTATGCATTTAGAAATGTATATATGCAAGTCTAACATTGCCAGTGTGACTGTGACCTAAGATTTGAAGGTAAGTTCAGCCACCTATATGTCTGGATATACTTGTCATTTTGATAGGCAGTTCTTACCAAAAGCAATAAAACAATTTCCCTTTTTTTTTTTTAACAAAATGCCAGATCTGAATTGCACAGGTCAGTATTATAATATATTATACAACAGGGTGAGAATTCCAGTTACTTGATTTCTGACAAGGGGGCTAAATGGTTCACATCCCTACATCCTGGTTTCCATGTTGTTTATTTACTTTTTGAAATTTTCACCATTTGCCGCTAGTAGCATGTTCAGCCCAGGGGTGGAACTGACCATTTGGAAACTCAGGCACTGCCCGAGGGCCCGGGGTCAGTAGGGGGCCCCATGAGATTCCCCTGGTACCTTTTTCATAGGCTTTTTTGAGTTTGGGCAAGGACACAGGGGCCCCATGATCACCTACTGCCCAGGGACCCCATGAGTTGTCAGTCCGCCCCTGGTTCAGCCATCCCAAACAACTCTACCGGTGTAAAACATTTTCATAGGACTAGCTCCGCTACATAGTTATTACCATGCCGTGCATATGATTATTTCATCAGTAACTTTAACAGTGGCATAAAAGCTGCAATATAAATAATGACAAATGATTACTTCACTGGATGAAATTCCACTGAAAACTAACATTAGTGAATGTGTTGCTGGTGTGGTGTTCATAGAAGCAGAATCACCTGTATGACATTGAGATTGACGTATAAAACATTATCAAGTGATTACTTAGGGCACATGCACACTGGTGTGGTTTAAAACGTGGTACGTGTTTTTCAAAAATGCATATCACGTTTTTAACACTTTTTAATGTCTTGTGTTCAAATTTAATATGACGCATATGCATTTTAAATGCATTTTGCATGCATTTTCATACCTATCACTTGAGAAAAAAAATTACACGTACTTAGAAAGCACACCAAAAATGTGCCACGGTTTGTTTTTGATGTGTTTCCATTGACTATAATGGAAGGTGAATTTTTGGTGTGTTTTTCAATCCAGGCACCAAAGATGCAGCAAGAGTTGAGAATTTAAAGGGATCAATTTTTCATGCACTCTTGTGGAGCTGGAAAGGTGCATTTTAGTGCAGCAAAAGCGCACCAATGTGAACAGGACAGAAGTGAATATTTACGGTCAAGCTGTGCTCATGTTGACTACCCAATCATGGTAAGGGGGAAGAAAAAAAAAGCAATGTTTGACAGTTAAAGTGAACACATCTTCACGATTTTGCTTAGTGAAAATGTTCATCTTTAGTAAATCAATCCCATTGAGTGGGTCCTTTATTTTAGGCTTGTGTATGCACTGAAATGCACTGTACCTTACAATCACACAACTTTAAATAAATATTTTAATTTTATTATTGACATTTACAAGAAGAAAAGGCATACTGATATGTTACAATTGTATCAAAATTTGAAAAATATGAATGTTACACAAGTAACAGATTTAACAGAAAAGCTTTTTCTTGCTTTCCCTGAAAGTAAGAAAACTATACAGTATAGGAAAAAACATCAGTATCAAAAACATAGGTCAGGTAAAAGCACTTATAAAAAAAAATTGTTCCACAGTACAAAGTATCACAAAAGTGATGTTTTGTTTGTTTTGATTTACAAATGTCTAAGTCGGGGTTTCAGGAAGATCTAAATTCAAGGGTTTTAAGAATGTTGTCACAATTTCTATTTTGCATTTGGAAATTTCATTATAAAAATATACTTTGCCAAAGCAGTGAATGCAAATTTGAAATGCAGCTTCATTTTACAAACTTAAATAAAAAAACTTTTAATGTAAAAAAATGATCATAAGGTGCTGATCTTAATGACCACATTGTAATCCCTTTTTGTGTTATTACTTTAATGTCTATAAATTGGATTTTGTGCCATTGTGCAGTAGATATTTATAAAACTAATACAATGTCAAACTCTACACTTTGTGGTAATTTTTTTTCTTCAGAGACTGCATCTTTTACTCAAACATCACTATTTCTGCAGAGAAATTGTTCCAAAATTAATAAACTACATCTGGCTTAAAAACATAATTGAGAAACATAACATTACAGTTACAACACTGAAAAATATCACAATGAACCAGATTAAAGAAGGATTCTACTTAACTTTGTGCATGCTGGAAATCAGGCGGTGTAGTGTTATACATGCAAGGAATTGAGTACAGAACACGATTGCTTTAAATACATCTCTGTCCTTTCCAGCAGCAACAAACATTATTATTTTAAAGTTGTCTCCTTAAATAAAGAATGTCCACTGGCCAGTTCTTGAAATTGAGACACTTACTTGTAAACAAACATATAATGTTTGACTGTCATAAGTTTTTTTGCATTTTGACAATCCAGCTATATCATGCCTACACATATTGTTCTGTTTCTCCATCTTTGGAAGCTGTCTTAGATGTGTTTGCTCTTGACTCCTCATTCGCAATTGCTGATGCTTTCTCTGGAAGTGATGCCAGATCTCTAAAAACATCTACATAATGTCCAAAACCAGGACCCCAGTTCAAGAGATTGTCCCAGTTGAAATTACCAGCTTGCTGGCTTAGCTTCATGGGCAATGTACTGTCTGCCAGTAAAGTGGCTGTTGGTGACTGGGCACCAGAAGGCCCACCTTCAGCTCTGCGGCCCGGATATCTCCGCGGCTTTAATCTAGCACCATAATTGTCTTCATCATCTGCATCTGACTCATTGACTTGAGTCAGTTTTGGCATTCTTGATGTATACACCATAGGTTTGTCTCTGTCATATTCCATTTCCGAGCATGTAAAAGACTCATGTGAATCACTATCAGATGATGATTCTGGAGCTGGAATTCCATCTGCTGGATTCCTTACTCTTGAAAGGGGCCTCTGGCAGTCCTCTTCTGATGAAGATCTCCCATGATCTGCACTACAGATGCTTGGGTTTCTTGGTCTGGGAGTGTTAAGTCTCTCCACTTCCTCTATCGAAAGGCCAACAGGTGGTCCACTCTCCATAGGAATTTGCCCTATAGGTTGTTTAAGGCGACTTCCTGGTCTGGAGTTATGTCCAGCCATGGTCTGAGGACTTTTACTTCTTCTACCAAGACGGGTTGCATAATTAAAGATACCAGGCTGGCATACATCATTATGCATTTCCAAAGATGAAAGATGGAGTTCCCGTGCAGGGCTACTTCTGTAAAATGTTGAGGATTTTGAAAATGGTGCAGGACTATGACGAGATAAGGGGTTAGGTGGTGGACAGCCTGAATGGCCAAGTGTTGCTGTCCTAAGGCCCTGGCTATACGATGGTTGATAGGTTAAACTGCTTGCTCCCAAAGGCAGTGGAGATTGTCTGGCAAAACCAAGAGGACTATGCCTTTGAATTGAGAATTTAGGAGTGTGGCTTCGAAACTGCTTATAGTGCTGAATGATGTCTGCATCAGAAGGAGCAATACTGCTGGCATTGTCAATGTCATAGTGCTCAATCTCTGTTTCGGGCATGGCCAAGGGAGCACTAGGTATTATTTCTGTGCTGTGTGGTATGTCTGTCTCATCATATATTAGGTATGGATTTTCTCTTTCAATGATATCTGGCTTAGGGTTTCCTTCAGGTTGCTTTCTAATAGTCATGTCATCACCATACGGTGGAATATTGTCAGGATCATCAAATGCAACATTTTCACTTCCCTTTTTCTTCTTTTCTTTTGGTTTCTTCTCTTCTTTTGGCACTTTGTTTTTCCTTGCTCTACACTGATTACACAGAATCAAACTAAGGACCAACAGAGCAAGAATTGTAGCACAGCTTCCAACAATTGCTGGAACTGCCCAAAGCGGTAAAGACAGATGTTCAGGTTGTGCGATAAGAGTACAGACGTGTCCCCCATGTAATCCACTTTTGCATACATTACCCTGAGGGCAAATGACACCAAGACAAGCTACAACTGTTTCACAAAGTTTTCCTGTATGTGTTTCAGGACAAATGCAAGTAAAGCCTGATTGGGTATGAGGTTCACAGCTTCCTCCATTTTGGCAAGGGCTTGAGTAACAGTCTCCAGGTGGTACACAGGTGTATGCATGCCACTGATTAATGCACATTAAGTCCCCCCAGCATGGGTTACTGGCACATATGTTAGGACCTCTGCATCCTAGTTTAGCATATGACTCCGATTTAGATATGCGAACCATGTCATGTTTACCACTGAATGGTAGATTTTCATAGTTATACTTCACATAGGCAATGCAGCCATCAAAACCTAAACAAACAAAACATAGAAAGAGAATTATTGCTTAGATTATAACACAATTACAGCATTTTTTCTTTCAAAAAAGCAAAGTACTGTAATGGCACAAGGTAGAAGGCTAAACAGTGATATATACAAAAAGATAGCAAAGCAATTTATGGATGTATGGTGAAGATATATTGGATCCAGGGTGCAGTTATATTGGATCTAGACAACTAATAACATTTTTATTTGTTTAGTCAGGATTGAATTGGCAAACTAGCATCAGACATTTGTGAAAAGAACTGGTTGATTTGCATTTCTCTACAGCAACACTAGTAAAACGTGTGAAATATTAAATATGATTTGCATGTGTCTTTTATTAAAGTAGTTTACCTATGCTACTTTGTGAATTATATGTAAATTTTGTTTAAGAAAAAGGATGCCAAACGGCATACTGCATCTATGACAACAGCATAGCTTCATAGCAGAAGAGTCTGGGTGCTTAAGTAGCCTGCCTGCAATCCAGACCTTTCACCAACTGAAAATATTTGATGCTTTTTAAAACGTAAAATACGACAAAGCAGATGCATCTATTGGGCAGTTAGAATCGTATATCAGGCAAGCATGGGACAACATTCTTCTGCCAAGACTACAGCAACTGGTCTCCTCAGTTCCCAGCCATTTACAGTGTTGTTAAAAGAAGAGGGGATGTTACACCATAGTAAACATGGCCCTGTCCCAATGATTTCCAGACATGTTGCTGCCATCAATGTCAAAATCACCTTATTTTTTTTTAATGTGAATAAAATATGGGTTTATGAGATTTGCAAATCATTTCATTTTGTTTTTATGTATATTTTACACAGTGTCCCAACTTTTTTTGGAATTGGGGTTTTAGGTCCATGACCTAAATGTTACAGTAAAGCACTAAAAACAAAGAGGTGTGAATCCTCCATATTAAGAATAGAAAATAACAGAAGTACAATGAGGATCTGGCTCAGAATTCTCAAGAACAAAGGAGTTTGCATGAGGACTGTGAATCAACTGTTCCAAATGCAACACACAATAAATTCCCTCTTAATTTAGCAAAGAACACATATTTGGCATTAACTAAAGTAAACGAGAGTGATGGGAGATAATGTAAGACAGAGAACAGACATTTAATGGTCTAGGATGTGAACAGTGAAGGTGAGAAATATGGTTATACACTTAAACGTCTGTACTCAACAACATTAAAACACGGATGGAGAAGACTTCACTTCAGAATGTCATACCAATTCACAATTACAACTACTTATACCAGCACACGAGTCGTGGCCTTGACGTCAGAATAGTAAGACAGGGAAGAAAATAATTTTCAGCAATATCCCTAAAATAATGACAATGCCAAGTGAGAGTGACTTTAAAGATTTTAGCACTGCATTAAAGAGTATAGGTCTAAGGTGCCTTGTATTACAAAGAAAATATCTTCAAATAACTACCGTAGCAAGCACTAGCATTACAGCAGATGATATGTAGAAAATGCTATCAAAGTTTGTCAAATGGAAAAGTGTTCTAAGCTACCAATACATAAATTTTGTCATTTGTGACAATCTACTGTAGTTAAAAGAAGATTATCCCTATGTTTATGGCCAACTTAAACCTGGCGTAAACACCTAAAAGGGTGTCCAGAAATGACTAATCCTTTGGCATGACAACACACTCACACATTGCTTGGTGCATGGCTTGCATTGTACAAAGTGTAACGGGTCATGTTTTTATTTAAAGGCAATACATAATTTGGGCTAAAAGAATTCCAGAAAACATTAACCATGAACTTGGAACCAAGAAAAACCAAAGCAAACACAATAAATTGGTTAGCTTGGCTATGCATGATTATTTTTATGTACAGATGCTGAACAGTTTTATTTTTTTAGTGCAGTAGTATGACCCTGCATGCATATGTGTGGGGCAGAGCATGTGATGCATTTATATATTACATAAGCTAACAACATGCTTAATTTTTTATGGTAAATAAATTACACACCTAGCAAGGAGAGTGGCACAATTTTCACATGGCCACTCCCAATTTCATCACCACAGTCCCCAAGAGATATAGGCCTAGTGTACGAAAAGCACTGAAGATCAGGTAATGTCAGTCTAAAATCAGTTTGTGCTTTGTTTTTATTTCTTCATACAAGTGAAAACTGACCTTGCAAAAACATCATTATGTACCAGCCAACAAAAAAAAAACAAAAACAGGAGTTCTGCTTGCACATGACTGGATGATTGAAATCAGCACAACTTCACCTCAGTCACTAAGATAACTGAAAATTGGTGCAAGTGTGCAGATTTCAATCATCCAATCATGTGCAAGCAAATAACCTGTTTATTTTTCTTTGGGCACGACTGGGTATTCTTTGCATAGTAAATTTTCACTCAGTTTCACTCATTCACTAAGCTAAATTCAGTTTGCGTGTTCTTCTTCTTTAGTAAACCAACTACAATGGGAATGCATGGTATATTCTGGAAGCTCAGTAAAGGTATAGTAGACACATCTTACATGCATCTGAAACACCCATGCTAAGCAATAAAAAGCTACAGGTAAATTATTCCTTTACTTGATTTGACCATAGGCGGCACTTCCAACTAGATGCCCCAAAATATCATTCATCACAAAGGAAAATTATTCCTATGCACTATATAAAATATTTACCGTTCTGGGTGCTTTGAGATACTCCTCCAATCTGAACTGTAAGAACATTAAGACCGCCAAAATCTTGAGTTATATGATGAATATCTCGGCTGTGTGCTTGGTCTAATGACAAACTAGTAGTAGATCCATTTTTTTCCATAAGAAGGGTATGCCAGCGACCATCAGCCACATACATTTCTGGAATATTTCGCTCTACTTTTCCTGCAATACCAGCATCAGATGTGTAATGGAGTTTTCCATTTTTGACCTGCAATATAAAAGTAAAAAAGTAAAAATCTGGAACTTCAGATAAACCTAAGAAGAAATTAGTCAATACAGAAATAGATGACTGACTTTTTGAAAGGGTTTTCGCTGGAAATGTTCAGTCCAATGATTCATTAAAAACAAAAAGGACAAAATCCATAGATCTTGTACCTTTAGCAACAAGAAAACAAAAGTAGGTCCTGCATTCCTACTTGGATTTTTTTTACTCAAAACTAGGCCTCTCAATTACTTTTTCATATATCTAATGCTGGATTAAAATCAGTCTTGATTATGGTACCTCTGATATTTGGCAAACTGTAGTTTATATCTAAAAAATATACATATTTTAATATATTTACCTAAGTTCATTTCCCATAATAAATTTGAATTAAGAGTGGATAAATAGGGCAATTAGAATTGGCACAACATATGCTCAAACCTCTTATAAAATCCCACATTTTGGAAAAAAAATCTTTCATACCGAACCACAAAACCCCCTTTCAGCCATAAGATAAATACATATTCAACACCGTGATATAAAAGTGTGACTAAAATGCTGTAGCCATTTACAAGTCCAAATAGCTATTTCTATATGCTTTATATTCATCTTATATAACTGAAATTACTTTTAATTGGTCTAACTGTGTTTCCACTAGGTTTGGATCACAGCACATTCTATAAGAGAACGAAACCATGTTAAGTTGATAATTTTCTGTTTCACCTAATAAAAATGTAATCTGTTAAACCAACTGAAGTTAAAATACGGCAAACACTTAAGACGTTTTCCATCTTACTAGAGTGAAGTATATTCTGTGAAACTTAAACAAAGATAGCCTATTTAGGAAAAATTACCAACAATGCAATTTTTGTCAAGGAATATTTTACCTGTTTAGAGAGATAGTGTAGCTGGAAAAACCTTAGATTCCAAAGATGAGTGTCAAAGCTATTTAATTTAGATTTTAGATTTGTATACTTTAAATGTGTCCTCCATTTAAAGTAATATCTACTACTTTCAAGGTCTTATAAAACAAAGATTATGTACATAAGTTAATAATTAAAACTTGCTTTGTTATTTGTGCTCCCTATTAGACTGAAAGCATTATTTCAGGTAGTGTAGGTCTAATTTATAAGCTTCCACCTTACTGTTAAACTTATATTTTTATGACACATTCTAAATTTCAGGTGGATGAAACTCAGTAATATTAATTGACTGAATTAAGCAGTCTGTAACACAACAAAACTGATTTAAATGTTCATTGTTTTTTGAAGGTTTAAGTGGTTGCTTGGTTGCTGTGGGAAAATAATGTCAAAAGTAATAAAAAGCCCAGTTAGGAAACATTTTCTCTTCACAAGGGGATAAAAAGACCAAGGCACAAACAACAGTGTAATGATAACATATAGACCACTGGAGAGTGTTTACCAATTACAAGAATTTAAACACTATTGATAGTTGCCTTACCAAATTAGATCAGATTCTGGAAGTTTTTTTCCCTATATTCCTGAATTGGTAACAACTGAACTCAGAAAAACACTGTAGACCCTTAGATTTGTCAACAGTCCATGATTGGTATCAGCTCCAATGTATACACATTTAAAGCTACCCACTGTGTTGCAGTAAAATAATAATAATAATAATAATAAAATAAAAAATGAATAAAAAATAATAATAAAAAAATTTAAAAGCATTTTCTACAATTTTGGTTTATGACCACTGTGGAAATGTTGCTAATAGGGGTAACATCTGACCATGGTCCAACATACAACTACATGGCAATAATATCTGACGCATCTACACTGGTATGGTATTAAAATAAAACTATAAGGAAGGATTTATATTTGCAAAGTAGATCTTAATGAAAAATAGATCTCACTTTCTAAAATGTGTGTACACAATATACATTATATATGTATGACCTTAGAGAGCTTATTGCCAGCTTCACTACTGTGCTCATTTCAAGTTATGACAGGCTTGACTGAGCCACAGCCAGAGAACAAACTTATCAGGTTCTTTTCAGGAGAGCGTAATTTATGCAGTGTTGTGCTTTTTTTTATTATGAGGAGTCAGAGACATTTTCTGGCTTAAAAATACATTCTGGGTCTGTAACTAGCTTGCTATCTTTAAACAAATAAAAAATAAAGAAAATGAAATTCCAAATTTAAAATTAGATATGGTGTGCCCTTCACAATTTATGGATGATCATAGCAGGAATGCTCTTCACAGTTTCAATTGACAGCTGATTAATGCTAGTACACAGCAATTTTATGACATAGTTCAAACAGGCAAAAATATAAGGCAACATTGAAAAGGGAAGCATTCCATCAAAACCATGTGCTCAAACTATGACCTGAAATAACTTGCTTAAAGCGATAAATAAGTCCACTTTGTGATTTTTACCTACAGGTAAGTCTCTAATAAAGCTTACCTGTAGGTAAAATGAATATCTTCTAAATGTGCACTGTTTAAGAGATATTCACTCTTTTGCTCTAAAGGAACGGCATGCTTGTGACATTCCTTCAGAGGGCTGTGCCGCGGCACATGTGGCACATGCGCAGGAGTGAGGTCTTTGCAGTTCAACCATTCAAGCTGCCGGGGGCAGCAAACCCAGAAGGAAAATTAGGTGAAGATAGATGCCTGGTCACAAGTGACAGCGCACGGCTGGAGGGCTTCATTCTAAGGTATTTCAGTATGTGTACTAGCACATTGTGCTATTGCCTTGCAGGGGATTTTTTTTTTTTCACCACCACGGATTACTACCGCTTTAATAAACAAACGAACGAATAAATACAACTGGGGTTTTTTTTACATAAAATTAGACTTAAAACAGAAGTCCAGGCAAACATTTTTTCCTAACATTTACTCGCATGAAATGTATGCCACTTTTATGACTGCTGCCCATATTTACAGTGCAGATGTGTTTTCTGTGTTTTTTATGGCTAACAATGAGAAGAACTGGTTTGAAGCCATATCAGAAGATGAAGAGAAGATAGGAACAGAGCAGTTCTTGTGAGGACTGCCATGGGAATAAGACTAAGCTATCATTCATGAACTGTTACTTTTACTGTGTGGAACTCACAGCTCTTGAAAATTACACATCGTTATATATATAGCTGATCTAGTAGGTAGAGAAAATGCACATATAAGTTCAGAAGACAGGCACTTGGGAGCCATTGCAGCAATCTACAAGCTGGCAATAATACATATATCTTAGTGTACATCCTAACTTGTAGTATGTTAACTTTCATACTACAACTATGAAATGGATTCTTCATATCTTCCACTCACAGAAGATCTCAAATTATGACTTTCTTTCTCCTGGTCAATGAAAGCTCATGGCCACCATCAATGCAAAGTTCATGAAATTGATTCAGACGTGCAGGTTAAGCCAGGGGTGGACTGACCATTTGGAAACTCGGGCGCTGCCCGAGGGCCCAGGGTCAGTAGGGGGCCCCATGAGATGCCCCTGGTACCTTTTTCATAGGTTTTTTTGAGTTTGGGCAAGGACACAGGGGCCCCATGACCCCCTATTGCCCGGGGGCCCCATGAGTTGTCAGCCCGCTCCTGGTTTCAGCCACTAACACTGCCTTGGACAACAGAATGGTAATGCAGTAGAAATCACCCGCAAATGAAATGTAAAAATATATATCGTGGAGATGAAAGAAAATACTTAAAATAAACATGGAATACAAATATATTATAATACATATATATTATCCAAAGACAAGCATAAGTAGATACAGGCCAGTGGGCCTCATAAGAAATAATAACTCTATATCTGGGCCAGCATATTATTTACAGTATCTAAGAATTTTTAGATTGAGCTTATATGTACCTTGTCTCCTGGAAGTCTGACAATGACTGGGTTCATCTGAATTAGTGCAAACATTACAGCTAAAAGTTATTTATCTCAGCAATGTACGGAATTCATATGTATAAGAAAGTTATACATTTAAAATACATACCTTTACAGCTGTGTAATTGCTGATTTCGTGAATTTGGAGTAATAGGCTATTTTCACTTCTTGTCCGGAATTTTATCTCTAAGTGATTGGCGTATGTTGACTCTGCGTCCATACTACGATGCTGTAAAAGATATTCACGCTTCTTGTTCTGGCTGATGGCATATTCAAGGTAACCCCTGCCTTCAAGAGATAAGGCAGTGTCTGCAGTTATATCTACAAAGTCAACAGATGAGAAGAACAAATTAGCTACTCTTAAATTATGAAATACTTAAAAAAAAAATTCTCTGGTTTGTAGCACAAGGGCAGACTGTAAAATAAATACATGTAAATGCCGTATAACAAGAAATAGGTATGAGCAGAGAGAAAAAAAATCAGCTTTCTTTAGCCTGTTTCTAAAATCTTGATTCATACTGAATCACATGTTCTTATGCTTAATAGGAATTTGTACTTAAAGCAGAAATCCAGCCAATAATAACAAAGATGAATGGCCCAGTAAAATGTAAAACAACAAAACTAGCTTTTGCTGCAATATTCACCTTCAATTCAGGAATTTTCAGTGAAGTATTTTTTTCCCCACTGGATACCCTCAGTTGGATGGCTAGCATCATTCAGCCAGTTTCCTCTATGCCAAGGTCCCATTAGACCTGCCCCATGTCTAACTAGACAGCAAAAGAGAATCAGCACAGTGATGTGCTCATTTCCCTGTCACTCTGCTCTCTCCCCTTACAACAATGCTTCTTCTTGGCAAATAAACTGATTGTACTGTTTCTTCCTCTCAAACTCCAGCCCTGATCTACAGTGGTTAGTAGATGCAAACGGGTTGATACCAGGTCAGATCCAGTTACTCACACTGCTTGCATTTAAGAACTACATTTAATGATGAACTAATGACTTCTAAGCTGCATTAATTTGCCTGGAGTTTAACTTTAAGACCTAGGGCAATTGCCTTACTGACTTTAATCTTAACCTGGCACAGCACCCCGCCATATGTGTTCTACAGTAATATATTGTTGGTAACAAGAAGCTCTACATGTTAACCATGTTCACTCCATGACTGCATCAAGGTGTGAGGAGATACCCTGCTGGTCTCCTAGACAGCAAGACTTCTCCACTCTTCGAGAATTCTGGACAGAACAGATCAAGCCCACTACACCCAAAACTGAGAAAAATGTTTGGTCAAAACATTACTGCAGGCAACGGTTTTATGTAACTTTTATTGAGATACAATTTCTACCTAAAATACACATAAGTGCAATTGAATTCTGACCCTAGTAGTGTTTCATGCCAAAATGGAAGAGCACAAAAGATAGAGATCTACAAGTTTCCTTGTTAAATGTTTCCCAAAGTCACATCTTTTAATGAGACTACAAGTTTTGTGTAAATGTTAGTACCAGATCTGAATAAGGAACAGAAACACCTGTACTATGCATGATAACACCTAACCAAGAACCGCATAAAACCAGCACATAAAATGCATGACTATATATCGTGGGGCCCTTGGCCTATTTTTCCAGTGAAGTAAGGTTATTATAAAGCAATGTAAAACTTAACATACACTTTTCACAGTACTTTCCAGTAAAGCCATCTTTACAGTTACACTGCTGCCAGAACCAATTATCGACACAGGTTCCTCCATTTTGGCAAGAGCTTGTAGTACAGGCTCCTTCTAATCTTGGACACCTAGACATACAAAAGGACAGAAGAAAAGAAGCTTTAGATTTTGAACACTCTGCATCAAGGTGACAGCTTTGCCATGTGCTTTCCTAATATACCATATGATTTTTTATATTGTCAGAAAGGTGACAATGATGTAAAGATGATATTTCCATGTGGAATCATTTTTTGCATTTTGTAATTTTAAATATAGACTTCTGGTATCTTCTAATATCTTGAAATCAGTATACAAGAAAATATAAGATCTCATCTTTTTCTGTCTGGAATTTCACTGTATACAGTTGCACTGTGCTTTTTTCATCAGTCTGCTATTATTATTGCCATTTTTATTATATTACTATTTTATTTTTTCATTTTAAATTTTTTTTTTTTATATAGTTATCGTGTTGTAGACTTCTGCTTCTTTCACCAATCCAAAAACACTAGGCTAACGTTCCTCAGCTGTCTCAAGTAGGTCAAATATTTTCAAGAATATTAGTTTATGAGGACATGTGAAAGGACTCGTGACCCTGTTAATTCACCTGCAGATAATTAAGGAAATATGAAAGCATGACATGTGGGATAACTAGTGACCCTGTAAATTCACCTGTACATGGCTCAGGAAATCTCCTTGTATGACCTGCTGAGAAGCAGGGAAGTCCCATTGAAAGAAAGAATAACCAACTAATTAGTGATAAAACAGCTAACTGCAGCCTTGTACTGCAGGCCATATAGCAAGTACAAGACTCATGTGTGAGTGCATACAATCCATTACTATTATCAGTAAGCTTTGTTATTGACACCCTATTTTACTGTATACATTTGTACATTGTATATACAAAAAAATAACACCTTTACAATTTTAACAATAACCTGTGGTGTTCAGCAGTTCCAGATACATAGTTTGCCGAGGGGTAGAAAGGAATGATTTGTGTGTGTACTGTGCACTTGAAATAAGTGCATTTTTCAGTTTTAGTATTAGATTTAGATAAAATACACAGAGCCTGAAATTCTAACCATTGGAATTAATACCAAATGTTACTATTTACTGTCAGAGCTTACAAATAATATTTATTAGACACTGCATACAAATTAACTATAACAATATACACCAATAAGCCATAACATTATGACCACCCACCTAATATTGAGTAGGTTCCCCTTTGGAAACCGAAACAGCCCTGACCTGTCAAGGCATGGAGTCCACTTGACCTCTGAAGGTATGCATTGGTATCTGGCACCAAGCCGCCAGTATCAGATCCTTTAAGCCTCCCCTGGCTTGCCTTCATCCCATACTGCATCCTGGTTCTATCCCTTCCCCAGGTAAGTGACGCCCAAACATCCAGCTATCCACGTGATGTAAAAAAAAAATGTGATTCATCAGACCAGGCTACTTGTTTTTATTGCTCTTATGGTCCGGTTCTGATACTCACATGCCCATTGTAGGTGCTGTTGGCTGTAGACACAGGTCAGCTAGGGAAAACTGATTGGTCTGTGGCTATGCAACTCCATATGAAACAAACTGTGATGCACTGTGTGTTCTGACACCTTTCTATTGGAACCAGCATTGATTTTTCAGCAATTTGAATTATAATAACTCATTCAATTTGAGCTATAATAGCTGTATCATTGAGTTTTGGCCACCCAAGACCCTGTCACCGATTCACCAGCTTTCATTTCTTGGACCACCGTTGGTAGGTCCTGACCACTGCAGAGCATCCCACAATACCTGCAGTTTTGGAGCTGTTCTGACCCAGTCATCTAGCTTTTACAATCTGTCCCTTTTTAGTCACTCAAATCCTTATGCTTGCTCAATTTTTCTCTTTTCATCACATCAACAGCAGGAACAACATGTTCAATTGCTGCTTAATATATCTCACCCACTTTTAGGTGCTATTGTCACAAGATTATCAATATAATTCACATTATCTATCAGGGGCCATAAACTTATAGCTGATTGGTGTATGTGCTTTTCTAACCTCCACTGTTTTTGCTCAGTCACATGGTATTGTGGGTACCATGACACAGCTGTTTGCTCATTTTAAACTGCTGACTTATTGTAAGTGATTAAAAATTGGATACTTTGAGTCTCCATGTATTGTGGGTGAAAGGGGACCAGAATATGTCTGGAATTTCAACTATATGAGAAGACTTGAACTTAAAGCAATCATAAACTCAAAATGAAACCTATACTATTTGTCCTATGCCTATTAAAAAAATAAATCCAAACACAGCTAAAATGCATGTGCTTTGTGAGTACCAGGGGTCTGGGATTTCTAGATAGAACTGTGTTGGGGACAGGATCTGTGCATAGATAGCTAATTAATGCCTGTGTCTGCACAAACATACAGTTTCCCCTACACACAGCTCTGTTTAAGAAACATAAGTTCACTGCTAATCAGAGGAAAACCACAGCTCTTATATAGTAAGTATTACAACAGCATTTGGATTAGGTAAGATTGAGGAAGTTGGAAGGACACAAAGTCTCACTTCAGATTTAGATCAGCTTTAAGAACATATCAGTATGCTAAATTTGGTTCACGCTTCAGCCTTATACAATAAATAGAACTTTACTTCCTACAAATGTTAACACATAGATTTTATACTATACATTTTATCCTGCATCTGCATTAAACATTAATGTATATAGTGAAGTATTGTTTGATCACTGTAACTGTATTCCATTGTCTTGGACAAAAAAATATGATTTAAAATAAGACTTCAAAGAAGTAAAATGGTGTCATTATGTTATCATATTGCTTGACATACCGATCTAGAATTGCTTGTGCTGACAAAGCTTGGCTGGGTTCTAGAGGCCGCCCATTCACTGCAAATTCCATTATACAACCTACAAAGTCATGGCTTTGTACTTGTCCTTTCCTTTGTAGTATTGGTTCCAGGGATCTGATACCTCCCACTGTTATTCTGTTTGGCTGAACATCCAAAGTCCTGTTCCAAGAAATAAGAATCATTGCAAGGCGAATTAATTTTTTTTTGCAATGATGATCATAGCATAAATCACCTTTGCTTTTTTGTCTAGACTTAACAGAAGATATGTATACTTATACCACATGCTTTTATACTATTCACAAATAGAAAGAAACAGCTTTAATGCTAGGCTTTCAGGCTACAGTGGCTTCTAGAAGGAACTCTAAACTGGCCATGTAATAAAATGTAGAATTCCTGAAATCTGATAACCCTTTCTGTAAAAGCCAGAAAAGAGGTACTTTTTTTGTTATCTTCAGTATATTCAGCAGGTTACATGTAACTATAATATCCAAGTTTTACAATAGAGCAAAGTTCCTCTTAAAAAAAAGAAAAATTAAAGTGAAGGCAGACAGGAAAACATCAGGAATGGCAAGAGAACATGCCAAAATGCATAATAATAAAAACAACAAGGTCTCTACACAGCCAATTTTACTACCAACAACAAAATTTACAAAAAACAAAGACATTTCTTCAGAAACACAGCCATTAGGGTAATGCTGGTGTTTGATACATTGTTAACCATATCAAAAGCCAACACGAATATGCAAATAGATATGTACTTTTTGGTTTAATAGTGTGTCCCATTAGGGAAATTTCCCTGTTCCCCTGTCCTGTGTACACAACAGAAAATGAGAGGAAATCTGTCCAAACTTCAGGAAAATCTCCTTTCAGCCATTTGTCCCTGCAAAAAAGTGTTCCATTAGATGATTTCCCCTCTATTTTTGTTCTGGTGACAACTCAAACGTTTTAACTTTTCGACACTTGTAGCCCTGGCAACAGTGGTCACCAATACAGCTTTTTCACAGAGAGGAGGATTTACTAAAACAAGCATGCAAAATCTGGTGCAGCTCTGCATAGAAATCAATCAATTTTCACATTATATTATCAAAGCTTAATTAAACAAGCTGAAGTTAGAAGCTGATTGGCTACCATGCACAGCTGCATCCGATTCTGAGTGCTCCAGTTTTAGTAAATCTCCCCTAGAGAGTGAAGGTCCTTCTCTACAACATGCTGGGAGATGACACGCTTGTCAACCTGGATGTGGTTGATTTCTACAGAAAATAGACAGTAAAATAGTTGACTGCCTTTTAAATAAAAAAATACAGCATTTTTTGCTTGCACATGATTGCATGATGGAAGTCAGCAGAGCTTCCCCTCATTTACTTAGCTCTGGAGCAATGCCCTTGCAAAGTGCACAGTATATTTGACTTTAGTAAATCAAACCCAATGAGATTCATAACTTCACTGTGACTGGCTGCTGTTGGCAATGCTTAGTAAAACTAAGTGTCACAACCAGGATTATTGGATCTCTGGTCACAGCCCAACAAAAAAATATATTTTTTTATTGGTGCCTTGCTTTTTAGACCTTTTCTTGGCGTTATTTGGGGTACTGATTCAGAAAATTGCATTGGTTAGACTGCATCAGCTCTAGTTTCTTAGATATGGTTGAATTTGTATACTTTTTAGTCAGTTTTCAAAAACATCTTGCTGATCAACTTGTTCTTCTGTTACCTAGTTTGTATTTTTGTGTACAAGTTGGCAAATGCAGTGAGAATGTTTACGTAATTCCAAGTGTAAATTCACATCAGAAATACTGCATTCTAAAATGTAAGTTATTAACTGTATTATAGTTATGAGCGTATAGGTAGGTGTGTGTATGTTGCCACTCATATTCTGTAATTTTTTCAGATCAAGCACCGTAAAGGTTATGGCTACTTATTTCTATGTTTCTTTCATGCTACAAGGAGATTAAATAAAACACTACATTAAAATATCCTGATTTTTGATGGGTGACCAGAGTGAAGAGTGGTTAATTGGCATTTATGTTGTTTCACAAAACTAGAGCTGATGGGAAATATTGGTGCCATTTTTGGAATCAGCATCAAATATACTCAGGAACAAGTCTAATATTTATATAATCAAGGCACCAAAGTGTGTGTTGGACAGTGTTATTTTTGTTGTTGCTGTTGTAATACCTGTTACGAAATGGTAAACTAGCTATATTTAACCTGGATAAAAATATTCTGGACCAGTAAGAGTTGCAGAATTAGCAGTTATCCCTGTGAGCAACATATGTGAGCAACATAATATCCTTCACTCACGTTTTTATAAAGTAGACCCACAGTATCAAATTGATAGATGCATATTATATTCTACACTATGTACATGTAAAATCTCTAATATTTCCACTTGAAAATATCTTAAACCTTGTAAAAAGCAGTATGAGTTATTAAGGTGAAATGGAACCAAAATAATGTGGAACTATCTGCTATGCTTGCCTAAAAAGCCTCCAAAGATTTTGCTCATCAAGGGAGAAAGACAGAAATTTAGTGAGCTTATACTGAAGCATGTTTAAGTGCAATGGTATATAGATTTAGAAATAAATCTTATTGAAAGTATCACTAAGGTGTCCAGTGGCAAACGTCTGGAATCCCACTGTAGGCATCAACTGCAATAGTAGGAATATGTACGTTTCCCGAAAATCAATGAGTAACATAGTAAAATATTTTATGGAGTAAAATCAGGTAGGAAGTTGAAATCACCATTTCTTGAAACTACAGTATATTGTTATTAAAAGTAACTGTGTCTAGAGGGAATGTCTTGTGAAATTTAAAAGAATTTTCATTGGAAAAAAGCGACAGTAGGTGGATGACGTTTTCACTTATTAACAGTTTTACAGAGGGATCAGGTTTGTAGGACGTAGTGAAAAATCTATACAACAGCATCAACAGAAACAGAAAAATTCCCCTCTGGTTTAATAATCAAATGTGTTTTTCTAGGTTAAAACAAATTGCAATATCCCATCTGGCAGTGTTGTAAAGATTTAGAAATTTACCAGTCGCTGGAAACAGCCGTGGTACTGACGGTACAAAACCCTGGTTCCTGGTCCTCAGAGCAAGTGTCAACTGTCAGTGACGCCGCCTGCAATAAAGTTTCATATTCAAGATGAAGTGGATACGCCAAAAGCCCAGCCTTGTTGTAAAATATTATACAGCAATTTTCAGTTATTTAAATCAATATATGCAAAATAATTTCCTTTCGAGCTATACAAGTAAAATTAAAAATATTTAGCGATATGGAAAAAATAGGGTAAATTTTTTAAAGGAACCTGTATTTGGAACTGTTGGAATTAATGTTTCAACTCTATGGCTGTCAAGGGAGCAAGAACACAATATGGTAGTATCAACAGTCATATTCAGGTGGAAGGGGTTTGGGAAATGATAGTATACTCTGCAACTTAGCACAGCTGTTGGCTTACAAAGGCTAGTACAGCAGTCGATGGAAAGACATTACCAGTATACACAGTGGGGAGAAAGATTAACACCAAACCTGCAAACGCTGCAAACACCCAATTCATGTTATTAAAATGTCAGAAATAACCCCTTAACCTCATGGGTGGAGGACGCCCATATTTGCAGCCTTGGTTTAATACTTCTTCACCTTGTTAAATTATACAGATATTTACGTTTATTCAATGGTGCATATCTGCCACAGACTGTAATATAACAGTAACCCTATAAGATGTTATATGTCATAGTAAACAACCTTGTAGGAAAGCATCTTTTTCTACGATTGCTTAACATTTTTTAATGAATAATGTAAAGAACTAGACTAGATGTTTGTAGTCTAAATATGTATTCCCCAATTAAAACTGAACTCCAGGAAAATATAGAGACACACAATAATTCAGCTTTGTATTCAAAAATAAATCATTACATTTTTTGTTGTTTTTTTTTTATTGCAATCAGCCTGTGTTTTACTTGGCATCAGCCACTTGCAGTCTCTGTACAGCAGACCTCAAACTGGACAAGGAAGAAGCATCACAAGCAGCCAATCAGTTGTGCTACAGTGCAAGGAGCATGATGATATGAGGCGAAAGCTAGTGACAAACAGACAAGCTCATCACTGTGTTGCTTCTCCTTTCACTGTCTAGTTACAGGGCATGGAGGAGACCTGTATGTGTTGCTAAACTTCAACAGAGAAAAATGAAGTATCCTGCCTGGTGCCGTGCCAAGCTGTTAAAATTTCAGGACTGTATAGGCAGAAATATAAATATTTTGGCAGGTAAAACAGCTTCCCCCTAAATTTTATTTTATTTTTGTATTTTGCTGTTTGCCTAAAGTTTACAATGATGTGCAATATATGCATGCTTTAATAATTCACATTAATGGTTGGGTTTATGTCACAGTCGCATGTAGCAGTTACACAAGCTATGACATTTTTTTAGCAAAATATATTGATGTGCAATAAATCTGCCACAATCTTCAGCTCAAAAATAGATTAGAATATAATATTGCAAGTTCAATTTTTTCTCCTAAACACAAAGTGAAAAAAAATCAATAATAATGAGCTTGAAGCTATATCATGAGTAGAGAAAAATAAAACATTCAGTGGACACAGCTTAAATGAAAAAATCAATAATAATGAGATTGAAGCTATATCATGAGTAGAGAAAAATAAAACATTTGGAGGACACAGCTGAAAAGACTGCAACAAAACATCAACCCATTTTATTATTTAAGAATATTATTTTCAAAATGTATTTCATTCTATCATTTGGAAACAAGCAAATAAGCTGTGATGATACATTTATACACATAACATAAAAATGACACAGATAATATTTTTTGAAAGGGATTGTGACATTTTTTTAATATGTGCTGTGTTGTTACATTTCCCTGTTCACATTCTGTCTATCCTTGTCTAATCTGCAATATTTCATCAATGACAACTTAATGCTTTTACCAGGTTTTCATAAACTCCCACTGCACCTTAGGAAATGACAGGTTTGAAATCCTGTGGGTTGAGGACAGACTTATACTAAAAAGTTGTACATGTGGAAATCATGTTATATTCAACAAAATTGCATGTGGCAGAAAAAAAAAACAATGTAGTCACTCTGCAAAAAAATCCAAATACAAAACAGAAAAATAAAAATAATTGCATTTACATTCAGTCTGATAAATATGTTGGTGTGGAAAATGCATGAAGAGAGCCAGAGAGTGAGCTGGAAAAAAAAAGCCATACATTTTTAAGTGGCAGGTTTTTTTTAAAAAAAAAAAAGGCAGCACACAATTTTGCATATTTTGTTTCATATATGCAGCTGCAGAGTAAAGACACTCATGCCACAGCATTTTTGTGGGAATCATTGGGTTATCGCTTGGCTAATAGACATAATAATAGCAAACCTTTTTCTTCATTTTACGCACCTATTTTTTTTTTTTTACTTGCCTCTACATCAGGGCTGCTCAACTTTTTGAAGAGTGAGGGCTATTTAAGTGATTTAGTAACTGGTTGCGGACCACTATGAAATGAAATGGTTCAGAATTCTGATTTTTTTTTTTTTAATTTTGAATAGCATAATGAACATTTTCCTCTTGCAGCCGCTGAATGCCACGGGAGGGAGAGGAGGAGAAGCTAACTTTCAGCGATTGCAGGAGGAAAATGGAGAGGATCAGTTCCTGTATATGCCAACCCTGCCGCTCCTCCTGTCCAAGTGTAAAACAGAATGTGACAGGGAGGCTGCAGAGGTCCCCTGGAGCATGAGGCGGGTGTCCTCATTGTGACCCCTGACACTACAACAGTGGTTGGGGGGGGTCTGTGTGGTAAAAATGCATCTCAACTATGGGGTTTTACTATCCCCAAAAACTGCAAATGTACACAAGCCCTTATTATCTTAAGCCCTTCAGCTTTCACACTAATGCACTGTGGTTTACCCACACTGTGGGTGCAGTACAGCTCACCTCCGGCTTTTTCTGCGAGTTAGCTGTGCTTTGCCATGGACTTCTATTATATTTTGCATTCAGAAGTTTTGGTGGCCCTCCAGAAAGTGCACCAAACCTGCAGGATACACAGTAACAGTTGCTGACCCCACACATGCGCTTTCCTGGTTTGAGGTCAAGGGCAGGGGTGGACTGACAACTCATGGGGCCCCAAGGCAATAGGGGATCATGGGGCCCCTGTGTCCTTGCCCAAACTCAAAAAAGCCTATGAAAAAGGTACCAGGGGCATCTCATGGGGCCCCCTACTGAGCCTGGGCCCTCGGGTAGTGCCCGAGTTTCCAAATGGTCAGTCCGCCCCTGGTCAAGGGCCAAGGGATCTGAGAGCCACATGTGGTCCATGGGTCACAGGTTGAGTGCCCCTTGCTCTACAATAACATGAAAGACAAGCTGCCCAGCAAAGGTGAAAGGGCCAAATTGGACAAACTATAATACTAACAGGGATGCTCACAACAGTTCTTTTTGTTGCCATGGTTCAAATCATCTTAAAATTAAATTAAACCTCCACAAAGACAAAAAATAAAAATGGGTCCCAGGAGCCTTATGCCATAATGTACTAGTATGCACAGTATATTAGCACATTATGGTTGACTTACCTGGCAAGTAATCCCTTCTAATGTTGTGCTGTCAGCGCAGCACACTGTCATGGGCCCTTCCATTGCTCTCGCTTCCTTCCAGGTCTGAACTCTACAACCAATTGATTGGCTGGGCCAATGCCCACAGGAGTCACTTTGTCACGGCATAGAGCGGTGCCATAAATATATGCTGAGCTACAGATCCACAGCTCACACAAACGCTTGCAGGAAGGGAGAAGGGTTTATGACAGAAGAAACCAAAAGGGTCTCTTCCATCATAAAAATCCAACTTGTCAGTATTTTATTTTATTATTTAGCTTTAGTTTCACTAAAAAAAAGTTGAAATATTTGCTAAAACACCACTGGAAGTAGTAGTCGCATGAAAAACATGGAAATAATACTTTATAAAATAATCAAAGTCCAAATATAATTTACGTATGTTTACAATAAAGATTGCTAGGAATATAACATTTTATGCAATATTGGCCTCAAATCCCCTAATTTCACATGAACACTTATAGGGCTTCTGTGGACCCTGTGGTTTTTGTTCACTTTAAATTTGCTTCTCTCCCAATACAGGTCTATAAGAAAACAAAAGCAGCTGAAGCAGCTTAAATGCAAATTAACTGTACATGAAATTAATTCCAAATAACTGCTGAATTTACCCTTAAATACCCAAGCACACAGGGCCTTAATTTAACCACTTGCCTACTGGACACTTATACCCCCTGGTTTTTTTTTACCCCACTTAGATACCCCCTTTATCCTGACCAGGTCAATTTTCAGCTTTCAGTGCTGTCACACTTTGAATGATAATTGTACGGTCATGCAACATTGTACCCATATTAATTTTTTATCATTTCTTTCACACAAATAGAGCTTTCTTTTGGTGGTATTTAATCTCTGCTGGGTGTTTTATTTTTTGCGTTATAAACAAAAAAACAGCAAAATATTTTTTTAAAAAGTTTTTCTTTGTTTCTATCATAAAATTTAGCAAACAGGTAATTTTTCTCCTTCACTGATGTGCGTTGATGAGGCTGCACTGATAGGCAACACTGATAGGCAGCACTGATGGGCACTGATAGGCGGCACTGATGGGCACTGATAGGCGGCACTGCTGTGCACCGACTGGTGGCACATCTGGGCACTGGTGGGTGGCACTGATGGGCACTGATAGGCAGCACTGATGAGCCGTGATCAGTGTGTCATTAGACACGGCTGATCACGTGGTAAAAGGCCGTTGTGATTGGTCTTTTACCACATCACGTGATCAGCTGTGTCCGTAGGACACAGCGATCATGGAGATCGCCGGGTGCGCGCCCCCAGGAGTGCGCAGCAGAGGGCATTCTGGGAGGACATAATATGATGCCCTCCCAGAACTGGCCGGCCGCAGTGAAGCCGTCATTCGGCTACATGCGGTCGGCAAGTGGTTAAAGTGGCTGTAAAGGCTCAAGGTTTTTTTACCTTCATGCATTCTATGCACGAAGGTAAAAAACCTTCTCTGTGCAGCATCCCCCCCAGCCTTCCTTATACTCACCTAAGCCACCTCTTAATCCAGCGATGTGTA